TCATTTTGCATAGATTCTTTGACGGATACACGAGACGGAACACCGTGAAACGGTAACTTTAAGCGTAATAGTAACGATTACTCAAACTGCGCTGTAAACATTCTCCTTTGCCAATGTTTTGAGTCGAAGAAATTGAAAGGTGGATCTGTGTGAAATTTTTATCCCTGGATCATGAAACACCAAATTAACACACACAGGAAGATCAGAAATTGAGGAAATAACCGTAACCGTCACCTATAGAAACAGAATGGCAAAAGAAAGCTCTATTCGCGCCTCATAGTGAACAATTCAACGAAGTCAACACCACATCATCTTCCAAAACGCACGTTTTTTTCGACCTGAAAGCACCAAACGACGCCTTTCCTGGATCCACATTTAATGCCATCACTTTATCACCACCCGTACACCGATAACATCTGTTTCGGAACAAAGACTTATTTAGTTTGACCTCCTTGTGAGTTCACACTCGAATACATCACTCCTAGTCATTACACCAAGTACGCAAGTAACGCACAACATCACACTCTCCTCTCGCGTTCTCTATGTTGCGCATGTCCAATGCCAACTTCATGCTGATTCCTCCAAATGGTTCTAGTCTCACTTTATCCACAAATGCCTCCGCAGTTTCAGGGATTGCTTTTCCCAAACCAATTCATTTACAGTCGCTTGGAGCCGAATGCAATGCTGCTTCTCACAACTCTGCTCACAGTAATTCAGCTTCCCTCTCTCCTTCTTAATGACACCTCGCTTCTTTGAACACGTTATTTCACCCTTTCCCACAACACTGCAGCTAGCCGTCAACACGCGTGGCAACATGTCCGATTATAAGAAGCTTGTACTTAAGTAGGTTGAATCACGTCGATTGGGAAATGGCCCAACAAAAAGCCACGGAAATTGGCGGAACAAGATAACAACACTCGAAGGATGTGATATTCACTCTAATTTGCTTTTTTCCTCAAGCATCCCAACAAACGTTTTGCTTCTGCAACTGGGCTTTTCTGGTTTCAAGGAGCGTAATCAGGCACTTCAATTATTCATTTTACCGATTATCGGCATACCATACCGTGGTTACTTTAACCGAAATTAGTGTTAGTGGATACTTAACCTCACATTGCCTTTGAATTTCACGTATTTTGCTCTAGAATTTTTAGATTGTCCCAAACTGGAAGCCACATTTTTGGAAAATTTATGACAAACATTTATCTTGGTCACATACGCAGACGGAATAAACAACAAATGGGACGAAAAATATCAAAAGACGTTCATTCAAAAAAAAAACAATAGAGTCGTTTTTTGTTGTGCATAACACTGCAAAATGTTTCGTTAAATGGGTGAGGTAACACAGAACAAGTATAGTTAGAGGCGAAAATCGGTGTTTGGACAACAGCCTGTCCAAATAATGCTGCTTGAATTGGCACTTCTACATTCAAACAAACGCGGGTTTCTGATTATTATCATGCATTATTGGCGCTTTAGTAACTCCTGTTGCCATCTTACCTGCGCGTCATATGTTTTTAATTTTCACATCTTTTCATTTGCTTCCTTGGTACGTGAGGAGAAACCACTGATTGCTTGATTGACAAATGTTTCGTGGACAGCCGCAAACTCCAAAAAGTTTACGGAAACGGGTGCGATGCGGCTAGAAATCACTACAACATATCGCCTGGTGCAACTCTAAACAGGGTTTTTCGAACTATGACATCATCACATACCGTTCAACCAATCAAACACTCCTGCAGCAATAAACACCATTTCCTTCCTTAATCAGACCGACACAACCACCTGGGCGAAGTCTATTCCGAGCTTTGTATTTCAAAAGCACAGTGACTCAGTTTGGTGGGACAGAATTTTACGAGACTGCACCGAGGTGCAGCCCCCAGTAACGACCAGAGTTGTCGAATAATTTAGTTTACGGCCTGGGCTTGCTGTGGACACATCACGTTAAGGTGGTCGCCGTTTTCACACAATGATGAAATGTTAGAAAATCCGGACATTTTCAAGGCGCGATTTGTCAAAGTGGGGCTAAATGCAACCCAAAGGGTGAGAATTTCTGAGGCACCAACCAGAGTGACGATGTGGGTTATGCACGAGGGATGTTTACACGCGGGCGAATTCTGGGACAGGGGAAGCCGAACAGACACCCACTAATAATCGGAGGAAAGAGGTGATTAACTAACGTGTCTAGACGTGCGCCGATAGATGGCGGGTGTTAATTAATGCGCTTCACGACACAGCAAATATGCAAGGGAATTTCAAGGCCCCAAGGTCCCGTTTAGACTTTACTCACTTTATTAAAATAGTGCCAACCAATCAAATCACGTACCAATTTGTACTAGTCATCCATTGGTCATTGCAGGGCCAGTTCAAATTTTTCAAGTGTCTTTTTGTTAAACTGTTAGATATCTTTGAGAGGCCAGTAGACGTTTTAATGAAAACTCCAGGATTATTAAGATCCCGATTCCATCAGACCATAGCATTATCACACGCGAAAAGTGTTGCTACTTTTTGATTCCGTAAATTTTGGCTATTCGAAGGACGAATTCCTTTTACAAGGAGTGACAATTATTCCCATAGTAACTGTGATTATCGGTAATGAATTGCGCAATTAAATTGTAGATGACATTTGGTTTGAGGGTAATTTTGATTTTCACGGAAACCCAACTGTAGCTGCAAGCAGCAGAAAAAAGTGCTGCTTAGGCAGACATGGGTGCGTTTTTTGAGTTGAGTGACCAGGAAACAAAGAAACGACTTTAGAAATCACGAAGGTTCAGAATTTCCTCAAATACAATGTAGCAGCTGGTCTCCTCCATGTTGTTCTTTTACGCTCACACCAATCGGCATTTGGAATATGCTATCAACCAATTTTAACCCCGCTATAATAGTGCATTTCCCACGACGGTTCACAGCTAGTTTAGATTCGTCATACTACACTGAATTCCCTCTAATCATATCAACTTGATTGATCGTCCTGGCCGCGATAGTTCACTGACGCCTCTCCCTTTGATCCTTCAGGTCAAGGTGACTCATGACTAAGATAACCTGAGCATCCCGATACGTCACCCGGCCTTTGGTTGAGACAGCAAAAGCTCTACACAAGGCCATGTCCTTGACCTGCACCTGGGCAGCGAAGCTTGCAAGGGAAAAGAGAATCGAGCTGCAGTTCGCTGAGAGTAGAAAAGTAACAGAGAAGGCTAAAGACGGCAATCGGCCATCTGTGATTGGACAACGGATAGGTCAAGTGAACTGCTGTCTGCTAAACGAACAACTAACCAATTCGCTTTCAGCCAATGACTGACTTTCGAGAGTCGTTCAACTACGGTAATGTAGGGATATTGCTCGATGCCTTATCGGTGTTCTGCTACATTATTGTGGCAGCTTAAGTGTGGAAATTTTGAGTCGAGTCACATTTATGGGTCAGTAAACTAAATTGGAATGCATGCCAACTATTCTGAGCCGCAACAAACGTACGAAGTGATACCTTAAATGACAGTTTGACCAAGCGCTTTCGTTGCTACTTTTAGCCTTCGAAAACTACAGCCTTTCGTTGCAGTGAAACACCAACATCCGCCAGCTTGGTTGTACGCATTTTTATCGTACCCAGGCGTGAAAAAGGCGCATCGATCACTTTCGGACCGCAAATCAGCGGTGGCAACAACCCATCCCAATTCGACAAACGCTCAAGCCGCGCCACGCCTGCCTCCACCTCGTGTGACTGTCCGGGCACGGCCCCCATAAGTGTTGGGAGTAAGAGGACCAATCGAAGCGAGACAATTAATCAATCAGGGACACACGGACGCACCTGCGCACGCATACTACAAGGGAGAGGCAGCGTGCGTGATGGGGATAATTAAACGGAACGTAAAATATGAAAAATGGAACTGACTAAAACGTCCACCAAACACACGCTGTTTAATCTAGGGTCGTATTCTAACTTGCTAGGTATGTGTTCTTTTCGCAACTCGAATAAATACGGCATCCTCAGGTCAAGGCAGACTGTCCCTAAGGTGTTCAATCACCACCGGCCACTTAACCACAATACGAATGACGGTCCAACTTCAAGTGTTACCGCGGCCAAAAATTCTACCGCGCCTCACACACCCGGTTGCGCGAAATCAACCTAACAACACTACGAAATACCCGTGGAAGCTACAAAAGAACAAGCTACCCTGTATTGGCTTTTGAGGTGACTGAATCAACCCCGGCCAGCTGTTGGCCCAAACTAGGTTTATTGTTACACTGGCTTGCCGTCCGCGCAGGCTAAATGGGACTTCACAAACACCCCATTTTAACTGTCTTGCGATGCTTGGTTAGTGGGCTTCACGATCTGCCTGTGATCAAATCCAGTGACTTGGACTAAGGGATCACAAACTGCCAACGGTTTAAGAAAGTCAAGCTAAACCATTTACGTGGGCTTCCGTGTTTTGTTGAAACGCTAGAAAAAAGGGGAAGCATCACTCCATACTCGTTCAAGATATTTTGCGCAAACGTGGTTGGGCAGCCGATCATTTGTTATTGCAACCACTTTTCTGTTTTTTTTTCTTCATCATCAACACAAAGGAATAGCCAGCTTTTCACGCGAAATGCCATCAACACGGGGCTTGGTTTGGGCATAAATTTGCCACCACTAACTGCAAACTAAAAGGCTGAGCTGCGCGCACTGGTGAGTAGACGGAATCCGGTGTAAACAAGTCACGCTTGTCACGACAGCCAACGCCGTCAGCGCGGTTCGGTGGGAGGAGGGAGGTGGGATGGGGACCCGCCGCCGCCACCACCGCCACCCCCGACAGCACAGGACTTACTCCATAATTTAGGGGCTGTGAAAACGACAGCATCGTGTTGTCGAAACCGAAGCATGTGTTCTGGTACATCATCGGAGTTCACTCTTTTTAGGGGAGACGTTACCAGCATACTATCGAGGCCCCAGTACACAACATAGAATATGCAGAAGTTGGCGACTGCTCTGTTTAGATCATGGACAGCGCCAGTGTTCAGCCGAAACACCCCTTTTTCCCACACGAAATTAATGCATGTGCGCATAGCATGACACGCTCCTCTACACATGACCACCCCAAACGAGAGAGGTTGTGCTGTTTACGTCAAAGGGAAACCTCGTTACACACTCGGTTGTGGATTCGATGTTCTGATTTGAACCTTTCGGGAGCAGTCATCGGCCTCAGGGATGGAGCCTTGAGCTCCACTTAATGGACTTTACCTGGGGACATCAAGCCTGCCATGTCAAAATGTACAGAACTCGATAAATTTGAACAGTTGACTACTTTCAGGTTGCCAGATAAAAACACGCTGGTTAAGGCGAAATTGTGCGGTAAAGCAGCACGTCATGACTCGTAAACAAAGCCAATGAGCAGCCCGAATGGGATTAGTCCTTTGAAATCGTCATCTTCCAGCCAAATAATACTCCAATGCACTGGGCGTGTGTGTGTGTGGATGTGGTGTCAATTGGATGAAATAAAGAACGAAGAAACGGTCCAGTCATTTTTCAAAACCCCAAAACGACCTTCTTGGTGTCTTTGAGGGCATTTGGTCGTAAGATTACTACTTTCAAATGCCCGGGAAAGGCTGCAGATGTGCAAATGCAACACCAAAACATGTCATTGTAACAATACTTCCCCTCCCACCAGCACGAGGATGCACTAGTCCACTTAGGATTTACCCAAGATGGCAAAGCTAGTGTTCGAGACTGTGTAAACAGATAAGCTGAACACTTTCTTTGCAAAAGTACAACAAGCTGAACACCATGTTTTCGTCGATGAATGTTCCCTCACACGAGATATACACAAACAACTTTTGAATGTCATTTATCGCCCTAGAATGAATTGTTCTGAAGTCCCATTGTTCTTTACAGGTTTTTAACCAATTTAAATAGATGAGCCAGTGGATTTGCCGCTCCGGGCTCTGGCTCGCTCACAAGCCTCGTGGTTTGCTGGAGGTTGTCTCATGCCGAAACATCGGGTTTCCATCTGCTCGTGTTGATTTGAGATGGAAACTTCTTCAAAAGTCGTTTCTGGGCTTAAAAAATGCTATCTGCTTGCCTCCTTAACAATTTCTTGTAAATACAGCAGCAACTTTCGAAAAAATACTCACATCCCGTAGAAAAAAGTGGCAAGATATTTGGTCAAATTACCCCTTTAAGCATGCATTTCAACGCCCCAACAAGAACTTTAACCTTTTTCCCAAAAAAAATCATTTGCGATTCTTCAATTTCCAGCCCTTCTGATACTTTACTGACCCTCTGAGACATTTGTTTGCTTATCTACTTGGCCAAACGGTCGACACTGACTGAAGTAGCGAAGATGCGACACCAAAGCGTTTGCCGTACGACCGCATAACTGGTTAACAAACACTGTGGATTAAGGATGGCCCCTGGACCGAAGTTCACATTTACGTCACCATAGCCTCGATTTTGTGGTGCTGAGTTCGATTATATTAAAAAGTATAAATCAAACCACACCACGGTTGGCAACAACACGGATGGATTGGCCTTGCATAGGTTTGGACATGGTGTAAACTTCCTTTTATTAGTTATAACACAACTGTGTCCTTTGATTAGAGGAATTCTGGTGGTGGCTGACGTGAAGCCAAAATAGGTGGCAAGAAGATGGCATTGGCGATACAAAGGCAAGGAATCCAGAATGAATAAAACGCATAGGACAAACGACGAGTTACAGCAGATTGACAGTAGTCAAGGATAATGAGGAATGCAATGTGTCATCATAAATTAGAGGCATGATGCAAAACGCCTGGGCCTCAGTCTTTATTTAGCCTTGACAATCGCTTTCACGCCAAAAACCCAAAAATCACGACAGTTCACTCCCCCTTATAGATCATAGCCAATCGGTTGAATGGACGAATGTTGAGATGCTGGATTTTTGGCGTTAACACAACAGCACTCGGTACGTGGAGAGACTACTGCACACTTTCGACTGAGTAAGACACAACTCTGCGTTACCTGCACCTTGGCCATCCTAGGAATGACGGTACGGATATCAAAGAAACATTTCCACTCAAACTTTCCAAAGGATGATACCGGTTAAGTCACCTCGTGAACTTCTTCACTGCTGTATGCACACATGAAGCCGGACATCGAATGGCGGTCAAGTGCTCGTTTATTACGTATTCGGTTGTCTGGTAATATCGGTTTGTGTTGCGCAAATAGCAACATGAGTGTGTGCGCAATTATGCAACTCCGACCATCGACAAAATACAAATCACCTCACACATGGCTAACTTCATGCATGTGGATTGCACCAACTACTAAAAGAATTTTTTTTCAGTAAGAATATTTGATACTGGCGTTGAGTAGTTTGTGCATGAGTAATCTTTTGCCCTGTACTTGTCCTAACAACACAGGTTTAGAATTTTTTGTCTTCCATATCACCGGGTTGAGCTCAATTACTTTCCTTTCTAATGCATATTTTTTTCCAATTGCAGCAACCAGTGCTGATCAAATGCCTTAACTATGGCCACAAAAGCCAGAATAATTACATGATTATAAGTTAATTACTAAGTTTGCTAACTCAACATGACTTTTTAACAATCACTGGCGAAAAAACCGCAGATTTATTTCATGATCTGCAGGGTTTGGTGTTACCCACAAGCACTTTACTAATGAAGACATCTTGTACCCAATGAAATGTGATTCCATAACCGACACAGTCCACGATCTTGAAGTTTCTAATGCCCAATTTCATGACCTTTGAACTCTTAAACAACCTTAGCCACCTTAGCTGTCTACCCATATACAATTCTGTGAACACCAAACCACTACTGAAATTTGTTAAATGAGAGGATTCAGGTACCCACAAAGTTCAAAAAATGGGCAGCAATCTCAAACACGCACGCTTTGTACTTTCAGTTATAACCGTAACGCCTAACTGATGACGCATCTCGACAGCTAAACAGTACTGAACGCAGACTAATTTCCTCGTGGCGATTATCTATGTACCAAAACGAGTAGGTTTGCCAGAGATAAATCCGACGTTGTTAAGTTATTCAGAATTTTCCATGATTATCTAACTCAAATGTCCGGCTAAATACGAGCTTTTAGTTTGCACAAACTCGACTGAACAAAATGCACAGAAAATAAAAAATAGTTTTCGGTGGGCAATCAAAAGTCAAGAATAGAAGCATGGGAAAAACTAATGGCCAGGGGAAGAGCAAACGGTTGGGAAAGCTGCTGGCCGAACCGTTTGCACGCAGCTAATTGACAGTGTGGATGAAGTTAGACAAGAGATGCGCTAGGTCAATGCCGTTTAAGTAGGACATGGAGGGGTAAAGACAAGCGCTTCTTCCGTGACCACCGACAGCATCACAACAGATGACAAAGATGAGGCAAAACTCCTCCATAGTGTTCCGTTCAATTGTTGGAATTAAGACAATACCTCTTTTTGAATATAAATTAAGAAACCGAAATGTGTACCTTTAATTCCAAGAAAACAGTGAAATAGGAAGAGATCTATTCAGTGGTTACGCATCCTGCCCCATAAACGAAGATGGCGGTTTGTGTAAAGTTGAGGTCGAAGAAGAAACGACTGCACGTACTAAAAAAACGTCTCAGGTACCAGTAGCAAATGCTAGAGTTGTGTCCGGTGCAATAAGGTCTGAAATATAGCTCCTATAAGAAGGGTTGTGAATGTGAAAAAAGGAGAGGAGTAATTCTGGTCCCAGTGTCAGATAATTCACTGATTGTGACTGCTCTCCGCTGACCAGGTAATGGAAAAATGAGATCTGACGACGAGTCTGGAGTACATTCTAATGAACGACTTAGACTAGGGGTTAGTTGTCGGACCTGGGACAGTTTTTTGGAGAATGGTAACAACTGCAACGTAGATATGCGCATTAGTTTGTGGTCGAGGGACAAGAAATACTCGGGAACTGGACAATGGCAGTGGGCGAGGCGCTGCTGACAGCAAAATTAATTATTAGTGGTGATGTTGCTGTAGTAGTCGTGGGCTTTGCCCGAATTACCAAAAATTAGCCGACCAAAGCAATGAGATTTGATTAACTGCTCGGTAACGCCAATCTATGCAGCTGCAACAAAAGGCGGAGGAAAAATGTGTGTTCTAGCGACGATGTTCCTTTAACATTGCAATGGACAAATAATCGAATATGGAAGTGCATGAGAGAAGCAAGACATGAACACCTTGTAAGTCGAGGTTTTTTGGGAAACAGGATAAAGGCTTAGCCTCGGCAGGAGGAAGCGTTAGCGGACCTCGAGGTAAGCTAAACAAGATGACCTGAAAAGCGTGACTTCCAAGCTGGTGCCACGACGCGCTACCAACGCACCAAGTAGTGCTGACGGTGTGAAAGTGTACTGATTTACGACGCCAAAAGCAACCACTCAGTCAGTCTATCTGCTCTGTAAAAAAAACTTTTTGGACTACTGCGAAACATCGGTTTCACCCTGCATACGAACTCGACCCGCGAATTTGTCATCGCTATGCTCTCTCACTAGAACCACATCTCTCCACTTATCAGATGACCTTTAATAAATATCCATCTACACCGAGTGGTCGCTCTAGTTTACTAATTACGCCGACCTTTTCCGCTTTCCCACACATCACGCAACGAACATAATTAACACGCTGCATCAGCGACACCTAGGTAGATTTCTTATTTTGATCTATTATTGAAATCAGTTCTTAGTGGGGCAATACCAAAGTCAGTGCGCCTAAATTCGAAGCAAATGTTCGGATTAAAATATGTGCACTTTTGCATGGCGTCTTTATTAAAACCTTCAAAATGAGGATTCCTCTCAGGTTTTGAGTACCGTAATTATTTTATAAAGTAATATTGAGCAACAGCAGCAAAAAAACACAAAACACCACTTCCGGTCAGATGGAAAAAGCATATGCGCGCCAGTGATTAATTTTGGGAAGGTGTGCATGGGTGTGTGATGACTCACCCGTTACCCCCTATTCCCCAGTCGGACACCTGGTTATGTGAGGTGGGCTCTAGCCTTGCAGGCGACACGAAGACCTTCTGCAATACTTAAATGCACGGGAACCAAACATCTTTGC